AACGACTTTGAAAAAATACCGTCCCCATACAAGTCCTACAGCAGTGACAAGTTGGGCGGCTTGACATTCGTGAGCAAGAAGTCCTCTGCCTATGATGACCAGAGCATCAATGATGTGGAGAAAGAGATTAAACTGTACAAGGTAAATACATAAGTTTGTAAAGTTTGACGAGTAATAGAAAAGAATAGGAAAATATACATCTATAAATGTTAAGAACACTAACAGTACAAGAATAGCCTACTGTGGCAGAACATGTTATCAAATGGTACTTTAATGGGGCTGAGTGGTCGGTGACTTGTGACCAAGAAACGTTGTTTCGGTACCGTGCAAGAAGTTCAGCTATGTTTTTAAAATTTTAAGTTTTTTTTATAGTAACAAGCTTTATTTAGCAACTATCAGTAAAGCGCGACCAAGCCGTGATGCTGTATTTGAGAGAATAATAAAACACACTCACCTGAACAGTCCTCTCTCTCTCCTCCTCTGTCTTATAGCGTAGGAATGTGTGAATCAATTATTAAATCAATTAATCTTAAACGGTTCTCTGTCATACTGTATGTAGATTTAGCATAGGGAAGTCCTAATTGTTCTAGGGAATCGATTCATCCTAAACGGGCCTCTCTGCTATGTAGTATTGGAAAATCTGATTCATTCCAGTGAATCGATTCACTTAAGATTCCACAGAAGATTCACTTAACTTAACATGCTCACACAAACTATTCTCCAGTTTGACTCCCTGTTCTAAAGTAGCCTATGTACTATGTTTTTGACTTTGATGATTAGTTTTTGTTGTCGTTGTACATATTTAGTAGCATATTGAGATTGTTCATTCATTTAAAAACTGCCATTGTTGTAGAATGAGTAAAAATATGGCTCTGGTATTTTTTTTAAACCATAAAAACATACTGCCATTCTAGTTAGCTATTTGTTGTTTATAACTTATAGCTTAGCTAAGCTTTTTTTTAAGCAGTAGCTTGATTGTAGTATTACAACATTTAATTATAACTAGGCAAGTTACTCTTTCAAAGTAGATTCCCCAACAATGACTACAGCTTCAACAAACATGGGGTGTAACTCTCCTGTACTACTTATGCAACAGACACGAATTATACCTCAAATCAACAAAAAATGAATACAAGAAAACCAGAATCACTAGCTAGGCTAAAATAAACGCTGGATGGAAATGCCAAGATGTGCATAAAAAAACGTATATGCTCAACTACAGTTAGTAGGATAAAATTCTTATCCGGTAAGAAAACATGCGCATAAACTATGATGGAAACACTTTTACCGAATAAATTCCTTAATGTGCATCAAAAAAGACATGCAACTTTTCAATGGGATAGCATAAAACTGGACCAACCAACGGGCCAATCTCATTTCACAGCATCTGAAATGCTTGAGCAAAGTCTCGTCAAAGTGCTCCGTTGTAATTAACTCCCAGAACTGCGTTGCCTAACATCAGGCTCCGAAAATAAGATAACATGACCGTGTTTCGTCTGCGTGCTCTGAAGCTCGTAATTTATTGTATACAGAAATGATTATACAGTGCCTTCTCCTACTGCTGCAAATAAAATTTTTCTTCGTGATATTTACCGCAAGGTATTTAGGAAGTGACGATTTTGTTCTTTTCAGCTCGATGGATGGAAACGGTGCTTTATTCGCGACGGTTTCATGCGATATTCCAATTTTGTGCATACGTTTAATTCGTAACTTTGGATGGAAACATAGCTACTGTAGCTGAGATGTTCTTTTGTTTCTCAGGCTCTGCAGGTGTATGATACTCCTCTGGAGGAGGACGACACCAGCACCCCAGAGGTGGAGAACATGGAGCCAAACGACCGCCAGGCTGCTCTGGGAAGCCAAGAGATCGTTCCCACCGGAAACCAGGATGCTACAGCAGAGTCAGACAGCGAGGGGGCAAGTGCTGGCGACACTCCCAACGACAGCGCGAGCGCCAGTGCCAGCCAGGAGCAAAATGAAGAGGAGTCAGATAGCAGCCCGAGCAGTGAAGAGACCACAGCCACGCCTGGAGCTGCAGACGGTGAGGACGACTCCTCACAGAGCACAGAGAGCCAGGAGAGCGATTCGGATGAGGAGACCATCCAGACCACCGACGCTACTGTTATCATAGCAAAGTAAATGTATCCGAGCACAAACCCTCAATGGGCTGTCGACAGAAACGAATGCAAATGTATTAATTGTATGGTGCTTGGTGACTCACTCCACCTGATGTTAGTGTGAGTTAGACAAACGGCAGAGCACAAAAATACGGTTCATAGAAGTTCTTGAACTGGTGCCGAACCTGTTAACATGCAGTTTCATCTCAACGATGTCTTCCTGTTCATTGCACAATTATTTGCAAACTTAATGTAAATGTAATTTTATACTGCTTTATGTATGTAATGACTGATCATTTATGAATAAATGTTGACCTATAGCAGTTATGCAGTGTTTCCTCATACACAGAAAATATACAAGATAAAGCAGTGTTCAGATTTGACAGAATTACAGATAATATCCAGTAAACCATTCACGTTGTCAGTTTGTCTCCTGGAAAAGTGCAATTTCTTACAACGTTTAGCTCGAGCAAAAATCCTCATAGATTTACAGTATACAGTAGAAATGCCTTGCTGGAAAAAAAAAAACTTACCCTGCCTAAACTGGTTTGCTGGTCTAAGTTAGTGTCCCTGGTATGTTGAGTGATTTTAGAGGGGTTTTGGCTACTTTTCAGATGATCACATTGGGAGATAAGAGAAACCAGCTAAGACCAGCAAACAAGCTTAGGCTGGTTTAAGTTTTTTTTTTTTTTTCACAAACCCAGCCATATGATCAAGATCTTTTTGAGATCCAACACAACATCCAAAGGCCCCCATATTGGCTAAGATATTCCTTCTGGCATTTCTGCTGTAACTATGACAGTCTAAATGATTATTTTTAATAACAGAAACAGGGAGTGCAGATATATTGAAATAATTACATATGATTAATTTTGTGATTTCAGATTCCAGCTTTCGATTCTGTATGTTCTTGTCTAAAACAATAGTTATTGGGGGGAATATGTGTGTGTGTGTGTTTATTAATATATATAATATAAACATCAACACTTTAGCATCTAGACCTGTAAGAAACTTTATAGCAATGACCTAGAACACTTGCTTTGATATAATATATTTGAAATAATAAAATGAGAAAAAAAGCACACAGAAATACCTTTCGACTAGTTAGAGCAATACGAGTGTCTAAATTACAAGACTTACCTTTAGATATGTGTCAAAACCCTTTTGATTTCTAAAAGTGAACATTCATATGTATCACACAGCTGTACAGCTGTGCTTTTCTTTTGCCAATGTCTTGATGTGCAGGCTCCAGACAAATATTTGTCAAACTTTGAAGTTTGGAGGAGTCTAGTGCTCTGTAATTAGCCTGCTCTGGGTGTGCAGATAGTCTGGGCCATTTCTTACAAAAATAAATACTATACTAAATAAAATGTTTAATTCTTTACCACAAATGACATTGGTGCTGACAAAGTAACAGCAGGGTGCACATTACTTCTGCTTCACTAATGTGACGCTCTTCTCGGCGTACAGTAGGTTTAATTACGTCTGGTAATCACAGAGCTATCAAACCCAACCAAACTACTGTGTTCCTCCACCGTCTGGTAATGTTTTGCAGACGCTTTTCATATATAATTAACCTAACAACAAAAACACACATTTTGATTTGAGTATAAGGCTGAGATGTAAAATAGAGCAGTCTAAAAAAAAAAAATAATAATAATAATAATTAAATAAATAATTAAAAAAAGGAAGAAAGAAAGTCCAATACTGGCAAAACTATTTAAGCTTCTTTTAAAAGCAATTTCAAAATATTTCAATTTCATACATTTCACATTTTAAAAATATAATAAGTGTGAAAAAAAGTAGAGTTAAATATTTAGCACATACTGTACATGCAAATCATGCTAAACTAATCTATCGAGATGTAAATTGGTGAGATTAAAATTTTCATAGGATGGTGCTGTTAATCCTACTTTTTTGATCTCTCTCTCTCTCACACACACACACATGGACAAACAAACAAACAAATATATAAATAAAGTGATTTATTAATTATTAGAGCTTATTTATTAGAGCGTTATTAAATTAGAAAATTAGTATATAGTAGGTTACATGTCATTTAAACTAATGCTATAATAATAATAATAATAATAATAATAACAATTAATTTGGTTACTGAAAAGTTGCAAAAATATACTGAACTCTCATATCAGAGAGAAGATTTATACACTTCAGACAAAGTACTACCACTAATAAACCCCTCTAGAAAACGATGGCTTATTTTTTCTTACATAATATTGAAAGGTGTGAAATCATAAAATTGTTATGACAATTGCACTTGAAAGATTTTTTATTCTAAATGAACACTTAAAACCATAATGGGGACATGCAATTTAAAAGTAAATAATTTTAAAAGTTACATCATTCAGTGTCAAGACCGTCATTATCAGTACTATAATATAATATTACAGTATAATACAGTATAATATTACTTTATACTGTAAGCTCCAGTGAATTGTACACCATTCAGCTTTTGTTTGTTTTGCATGAAAAGATGATTAAACAGTATTACTGCAAGGTATTATATTGACATTATCATTATGACCCCTTCTTAGGTGTCAGATCCACAGTAACACAGTTTGTGATGTCTTGTGTTGTGGTAGTTGATGGGGTTGCTGTTGTCTTGCCAGCGGTCGATGGACTTGTTGTGCTAGCTGGAGGGAATGTGCTTGACACAACTCTGATATCTTCCTCCGAAGAGTCAGAATCACTTGATTTAGACCCGTTTGATTCAGATTTCTCATCCGACTGTGAATCCTCCCTGTCTTCTCTGCTTGAATCATTTTCCTCTGAACTGAATCTAGATCGCACAGAGTCTGATGAATCAAATCTTCTGCACTATAATATAATATTACAGTATAATACAGTATAATATTACTTTATACTGTAAGCTCCAGTGAATTGTACACCATTCAGCTTTTGTTTGTTTTGCATGAAAAGATGATTAAACAGTATTAGTGCAAGGTATTATATTGACATTATCATTATGACCCCTTCTTAGGTGTCAGATCCACAGTAACACAGTTTGTGATGTCTTGTGTCGTGGTAGTTGATGGGGTTGCTGTTGTCTTGCCAGCGGTCGATGGACTTGTTGTGCTAGCTGGAGGGAATGTGCTTGACACAACTCTGATATCTTCCTCCGAAGAGTCAGAATCACTTGATTTAGACCCGTTTGATTCAGATTTCTCATCCGACTGTGAATCCTCCCTGTCTTCTCTGCTTGAATCATTTTCCTCTGAACTGAATCTAGATCGCACAGAGTCTGATGAATCAAATCTTCTGCGCAAATGAAACTGAGGATTTAAACAGTTGATCATTTCATTAATAATAATAAACTGTATGCTGTATGTTATTAAAAGTAACACTTTTTTTTAAATCCTTAAAAAATAAACCATATTACTTAATACTTACTGCTTTTGAAAAGACTGATGCAACAAACAGCATCAGTAGCATTGCATGTAATGTCGTCATCCTGCAAAATAAATAAATAAATAAATATCCATCTATCTATCTATCTATCTATCTATCTATCTATCTATCTATCTATCTATCTATCTATCTATCTATCTATCTATCTATCTATCTATATATATATATTCTGGTTAATTCAAATAGTGTTTACCACAGATTAAAAATTGTATTTATAAGTTCTACTTGATTGTATTCATTGATTATTCAGTTACCACTAATAAAGATAAATTAAAAAGCCATAAACATAACATATAACATAACATAACATAACAACTATATAACATTAATATAACATAATCATAACATAACATAACAACATAACATAACAACAACACAACATAACATATAACATAACATAACATAACAACTATATAACATAACATATAACATAACATAACATAACAACTATATAACATCTAACATAACAAACATAACATAACATAACATAACATAGAGATTACCTTGCACAGATGTTCTTGTCCAGTTATTACAATGTCACAGTCTGTATTTACTCTGGCATCTGTGGTACTGTGTCTTAAATACTGGATGGATGTGAGTAAACCAGGGCTTGGTCAAGGGAATTTCCATGACGACGATGTGACAAGTAAACATTTATGCAACTTCCGGGTCTCTACCAAACCTTGCACAATGCCTTGCAAAATCCCTACTACAATCAGTGCATAGTAATCCACACAAGAGTTTAAATCACACAACGCCACTGTCTCACTGCATTGTTCAGACAAACCACACACTGCTATTTGTTAATTTGGTAACAGTGAAAGGCTCAGAACTTAAACATAATCTATGCATACTTATGGTGAATGTAATTTTCATCCATGTTGATCCTGGAACAACATTCCAATCAACCAATCAGAATTGAGGGATATGTTAACAGGAAATGTCAATTTTAGCCTTACAACCAGAGTTAGGTGCTTTTACACCCTTGTTATTCAACCATGATTTACCTCTGATTTTAGGGATAGATTATGGGTACACTCTTAAAAATAAAGGTGCTTCAAAAGGTTCTTCAAGCGATGCCATAGAAGAACCATTTTTGGTTCCACAAAGAACCATTCAGTCAAAGGTTCTTTAAAGAACCATTTCTTTCTTACCTTTTTATAATCTGAAGAACCTTTTTTCGCCACAAAGAAGCTTTTGTGAAACAGAAAGGTTCTTCAGATGTTAAAGGTTCTTTATGGAACCGTTTAGACAAAAAGGTTCTTCTATGGCATCGTGAAGCACCTTTATTTTTAAGAGTGTAGGGTTAGGTTTATGGATAGGGATAGGGTTAGGTCTATATTTTTGGACAATAATGTTGATCCAGGATCAACAAAAGATGTTGATCCAGGAACATGTCTTACTTGGCAAAATCACAGTGACCATATACTAATGTATAGGACTATACAGAACTGTCAGATCCACACATGTGAAATTATGGCCTGTGACTGTATTTTTATATTTTGGACATACTCCAGTGCTCTAAACACAGCTTGAGAGAACTCGATGGACCACTGGTTTTATACTTTACAGTATGCTACATACTGACAACTGAAATGCAATATAAAACAAATGCAATATAAAATCTGATGTAAATAAGCCAATTAGCGGTTAACATGTCGGTCAATGACACATAAGTGTGTCCCTGATCAAGAAAAAGAAAACATATTTTGTAAACCTAGTTCAAAACATATGTGCCAAATTCTTAGAAATGTTTCAAGAAAATATTTAACTCTTAAAATGTCATGGGTTGTAACCATCATGAACATGTCCAACCATCATGTGTGTGTGTGTGTGTGTGTGTGTAGTTTAGGTATACCCTACATTAAGGGAACAAAAAAATCCAAAATCCATGTCCTTGCTTATATAAATCATACAAATTAAGATTTTTTTTTTTGGAATCTAAAATAGCAGAATGTTTTGTGTGAGGGGTAGGTTTAAGGGAAGGGTTAGGGTAAGGATACAGAAAATACAGTTTGTACAGTATAAAAACCATTACATCTATGGAATGTTCCCATTAGACATGGAAAGCCAACATGAGTATGTGTGTGTTTTCCAAGTTTAAAAAAAATATTGAATTCATTGAAGTTGTACCACAACATTTTACAACCTGAATCTTGCTTTGTTGTAAAATGGATATACATTTATCAGATTTCAAGTAGCATGTTGACCATACGCAAAATCACAAGGGTCTATGAAATCATTTACCAAAATTGAAGACATGCTCATAGATTTTAAGGACATTTTGTTTCCCTTTGCAACTGGTTTTGTAGCGAAATCAGAGTAAACCACTGGCCTACATGACCACCGGCGTGTATCACATACTTAAAAGGAAACAACTGTGAACAGAATTTAATTGTTTATTGTTGTAAGATCATTCTGGCTGCAAACATGATGATTAATATGCAGATTTTTCTGTTCAGATTTCCTGTTTTTGATATAGCGTAACTGCTCATATGCCCAGAGCAAACAAGTTTAGCTGCTCAGACAGATATTTCACCAACCCCAAAGACGTCAGTGATGACTGAGGGTATGAAACAGTCAGAATTGTAATTTTGCAAACGGATGATATAATCTGACATCATCCTATGCCAGCCTCTACATGAATGGCAGAAGTTATAAATGCATAAAAATGAACTATAAGCTCCATTTATGATGTAAAGTTCTATAGAAACAAAATTCATGCTTACATAAGTATAAAAAGGTGCATATTTTTGGTCACTCATAATAATACATTTTACATGCAACATCATTTGGCAAATGGTGAATTTTCTTAATACACATAGTACATATATGCTATGTCTTACAGATGCTAACTATGGCAGATTAAATGCGCATTCAGTAGTTGTTGAGCTAGTGTTAGCATCTCTGTTCTTTACTTTAATAACAATATATGGTTATATGCTGCACTTTCGTCTCTGAGTTTTATGTAAATTACTCTAATACCAGTGAGTTTTAGAGAGCAGTCTACACAGTAATTATTTCTCTTATCTGAACAACATCAAAAAAGCAACTCGGGTGTCTCTACTTAGCATTTTTTCCATCACCAAATCTTCCCACCTTGTGTGTGTTGTATTGTGACTATTATGAGTACAGTGTTCATCTGATGAATTGTATACCATTCAGATGACTATTCGCAAAAACACTATTTATTTCCTAATGTGTAAAACTTTTCTCCTGAATGACCTTTAAGGAAAAATTTATTCAAATTTACAGCTCTAGGACTATTGAATGATGTCTATTTGTTTTGTTCTGTGTTTCACTTTGGGAGATGTTGACCACTCCTAGATTGCACCAATATTGCTGCTATCATCCACAGCAATTAAACGGGTTCAGACCTGCCAGCTCCTAGCACTCCATGTGCTAAAGGTGGCTCAGATACATCCGGTCTATAAAACCATACAAAAATATGTGGCAAGCCATTTGGTACAACAAAACTTAAGCCTAACGGCATTTTGGTTGACTATACTTACTGTATAAGCAAAAGATATAGCCTCTATGATCCAATGAGACAGCCACTGATAAAATAATGGCTTCCCTTTGTGAGGAGTAGCTCAGGACACAAACAGCTGGTCATATATTGCACATATATATGAAGAGCCGATACCGGACATAAGGAATTTAACTTGAGGGTGAAATGGAGGGTGAAAAGCTGCGAACTTGGATGACCACCTATACGCCAAGTCCACTACCTTGGGCACAAAAGCAGGGTTAGGGTGAAAGGAAACCTTAATGAGCCCTGGAGCGAACTGTGAACAAGACAGTCTAACAGACATAGCCTGTAGTCACTTGCAAGCTTAGCTATAAATAAAGCTATAAGCAGCACTATCTTAAGGCATCTAATGGCTCAAAAGATAGTTGGAAAATGGCTTATAAGATGATGGATAAATTCCATAAAAGAACCATCTGCCTGGACACCGGCCATTTCCGGCATGCCCTGTTCATAAAATGGCTTCTTAAAGGGTGCTGCCCTGCCGATTTTTATGCCAAAACCTACATGACAGGCTGAAATTGCTTCTATATACACATTAATGGTGGAGAAAGCCTTCCCTTTATCTACAAAATGTTAGAGAAAGCATAAAATGTCCCTCTTTGAGCTTTGAAATGGGACAATATGACTCATGCAAATCTTCAAAGACTTGCCATTTATTGCTATAAAGTGTGCAAGTAGAGAAGGCTCTTGTACTCTGTATAGTACAGTAAGTACGACTGATGGAGGCAGACCTGCTGCATTCAAATTCCACCTATCCTGTCTGGGTGAGCATAGTGCGATAATGCATTCTTAGTCAATTCACCCAAACTGAAATGTGTTTGAAAACACTGTGTGAGTGCTTGGTGGCACTGTTGACCATGATCCTGAGCTCTCTCGTCTCTCTCGTCTCTCTGAACCTGAGGAGAGATCACTGAATGGGCCTTTATGGGACCAAGAAGGCTGTATTCCCATCTTCTTCTCTTTGCGGGCAGAGAGAGAAGGGCCGGGGAATATCTGCATGTCAGGTCGCATGCTTCTTCATCTCCTTGGGTTGGAGAGGACAGTTTTTTAGCTGCTACAGCCACAAATGGATGGTTTCCCCAAGGTCCAGAGTCATCCACTCATGGTCGCTGGCCAGCTTGCTGCCCGCTGTGAGCAGGTCTTAAACCCCCAGTCCCCACTGGTCTACTTGCTGCCGCAGCTGCTGCAAAGGACCAAACAGACCCTTAGTGGGGTCATAAGACACATCTATTACTTCTGATTTCTGCATGTTGCCCAAGTCTGACAGATTTAGCCATAACGCTCTCTCACCTGACACCGCCAAGTCCATCACATGGCCATGGCCCTGAACCATGCTGCGGGAAGAGTGCAGAATCAAATCCTTCATCACACAGATTTTGTCCAAGAATGCCGGGTTCGGCGCTCCCGAGTCCAGCTGTCACCCCATCTCCACCAAAATGTCTGCTTGGTATGCTGACAGTAAAGTCACTGCATTCAGTGAGCACACGGACTGCCCAGTGTATTTATACATCCTCTGATTGACTGATGCAGTCAGCCATTCCATCTTGCTTGGCAGCAAAATCTGAGAGAAGGCAGAAACAGAGTGCCAATTCAGATGGAGGTGATAGGCCACTGAAGACTCTACTCAACCCCAACTCTCCCATCCCTTGAATCTCCAAAATGGAATACCCCTTGGAAGGGAGCTTGCTCTTAAAGGGGCTAGACCAATAGCGGGACATTTCCTTCATGCAAGCAGGTACAGAAGTCAGGAGTTGTCTCGCTGTAGACTGGCGGCGGCAACCTTTTCCCACCATAAAGGCCAACAATCACCAGAAATATGTGGCTCACCATGAATTGCATACTGGAACAATGCTGGAGCCCAAGTTATTCCGAAAGGTAGCCACTGATATCTATACAGGCTTTTGTGTGTCATGATATTCGACAGCTCTTGGGCAACAGGATTAGCCTGCATTTGCCAGCCTTACCATCCAGCAGTGGCACCGTCACTCAGTAGCCAACGGAATTAGAAGAT